GAAATACCATATAATCCAGTAGTTCCACTACTGGCTATTTACCTATAGAAAATGAATACACTAACTTGACAAGATATGTGCACCCCTGTGTTTATTCCAACATTATTTACAATAGCCAAGATACGGAGACAACCTAAGTGTCCGTTGATAGATGAATGGATGAAGAAGTGTGTGTGTGTGCATTCCATTATGCATATGTATATAGACTGGAATATTACTCAGCCATAAAAGAGAGATGTCATTTGTGACAACATGGATAAAACTAGAAGGTATTATGCTGAGTGAAATAAGTCAAACAGAGAAAGCCAAATACCATATAATTTCACTTATATGTGGAATCTAAAAAAAACATGAATTGAAAAACCCCTCAAAACAGACACAGGCTTGTAAATACAGGGAACAAATTGGTGGTTGCCAGAGGAGAGGGGAGTGGGGGAATGGACGAAGTAGGTAAAGGGAATTAAGAGGTACAGACTTCCATTTCTAAAGTAAATTAGTCATTGAGATGGAAGGTACAGCATAGGGAATAAAGTCAGTAATATTATAATAATGTGGTATGGTGATAGATGGTAGCTACAGTTATCATGGCGAGCATTGTGTAATGTGTAGAATTGTTGAATCACTATGTTGTATTCCTGAAACTAATACAACATTGTATGTCAATTATGTCAATGATAAGCATTTAAAAAATAAATGATAAAATTTTTAAAAAAATGAATTGACTGTAAATATGAGGGTTTGTTTCTGGATTCTCTATTCTATTCTATTGATCTGTATATCTGGCCTTATATTATTACTACGCTGTCTTTAGCTTTGTGGTAAGTTTTGAAATTGGGAAGCATGAGTCCTTCACCTCTGTTCTTTTTCAAGATTGTTTTGGCCATTCCAGGTCCCTTGTGTTTCCACATAAATTTTAGGTTCAGCTTGTCAGTTTCTGCAAAGAAGCCAGCTGGGAGTTTGATAGAAACTGTGTTGAATCTGTAGAACAATTTGGGGGAGTACTGCCATTTAACAATATTAAGTCTTTCAATCCATGAGCATTGGAGGTCTAGGTCTTCTTTAATATCTTTCTTTCTTTCTTTCTTTTTTTGTGGTGGGCAGCAAAGGAAAGTTTACTGAGCGATAGTACAAAGCTCCCAAAGAGGGAGGGGACCTGAAAGGGTTGCCCTCTTCTTTAATTTCTTTCAGCTGTGTTTAATAATTTTAGAGAATAGGTTTTGTACTTATTTTGTTAAGTTTATTCTTAAGTATTTATTCTTTTTGATGCTATTGTAAATGGAATTTTTCTTAATATCAGTTTTTGTTCATTGCATGTTATAGAAATACAGTTGATTTTGTTTATTGATATTATATTCTGCAACCTTCTTAAACTCATTTGTTTTAATTTTTTTGGTGTATTTCTTATAGGATTTTCTATATATGAGATCATGTCATCTATGAGTAGAGATAGTTTTATTTCTTCCTTTTCAATTTGCATGTTTTTCATTTTCATGTTCTATTTCATTTTCTTGCTTAATTGTCCTGGCTAGCCATCCTAATCTTCTCTTACTTAACAGTAGTATTTGGTATAGGTGGTTATTCCTTGCTTTTTTGTAGCCCTCTCTTCACTTGTGCAGACAGGCTTTACTATTCCCAGGGAAAGCCGACATTGAGTTTCTGGCGAGTTTGTCTTGGTCACTTTCCTAGGTTGCAGTTTTTCTAGCCTTGAGATACACTTCCAGTCCATCAGAACCATTCTCATTCATTTGCTTTACTGGATTCTCCATCTTTATTCCTCATTCCTTCTTGTCTCTTTCCCATTTGTTCATGAACAATCAACTCCTCTGGGTTTGTGCAAGACATCCCACTCTGACATTTCCCTTTTCAGCACCTGGCTCAGCTTTTGCTCACCATTTCTGACTCATCTGTTTTACTTTTCCTTATTAAAATACTGATTATGAGAACAACAACAACAAAGTTGTACTTTTTTGGTCAGTTCTTTTTTTTTAAATTGAAGTATAGTTGACAAGTTACTTGTACTTTTAAATCGTAGTGATAAGAGAACTCCATTGTCTCCTTAAAATTTTTAATGAAAGTGAAGTGAAAATGTTGGGAATACATTTTTATAATAAATTTTGGCCAGGTCTATAAGAACTTATCAAACTCAACACTCAAAGAACAAATAATCCAATCAAGAAATGGGCAGAAGACATGAACAGACATTTTTCCAAAGAAGACATCCACATGGCCAACAGACACATGAAAAAGTGCTCAACATCGCTCGGCATCAGGGAAATCCAAATCAAAATCTCAATGAGATACCACCTCACAC